ACTGTCCTCTCATTCCAGATTGGACTACGATCCATCCCTATCTATATAGCTTAGCCACGACCCGATCGAGAATGCCATTTCGACCAATCTCCTCTCGTTTTGAGGCATCATTCGATTATACAATCCTCTATTTAAAATTACTATTGTTCGAAGTTAAGCGGAAAGGAAGGGGAGCTGGACGAGGTTCACAGAAGCTCATGTGCCAATGCATTTAAGACTGCATTTTCTTTGATCCTTCCAGTCCAAGGACACTATATTCCGCTGAATTACATAGCTTACGCTGGCTGGTTGGCTGGTTGGCTGGCTAGCTTAAGGAGCTTTCGGATTGGATGAGCAGTTTTACGCAGCGAAAATTGCTGAAATTTGTTATGCCTTTCGTGCCTTCCGATTTTCTTTTCCACTCTACAGCGAATTGAGGTCGGAACTGACTTTGGACAATATATGCGCGCATATTTTGCATCAAAAACCAAATTATTTTGAATTTCCCTCGATAAGTTTTTGTAAGTTGTACTCGGATCAAGCGGTCTCCGTCAGGGGAGGTTATTTTGTAATGAAAACATTTTCTGTACTTTCACTTATTATTTAGGCCTGTACTGATCCACCAAAGATTCTTCAATTGTTCATGAGCGCCGTTTATAAGCAAGACGTTGAAGATGCCCAATGGACCAGCCCTGCTACCATACCGAAAATCGAGACTTCAATGAAAGTCGGCGGTGTTGATTGGTAACCTGGTCTTTTACTATACAATTACCTTCAATACGTGTTAATTTGCCTTTAGATGATGCCCCTCATGGTTCTGAACCTTAAAATATGTTTCCGTTATCATAAAAAAAGCTGAAAGCTTCCTTTAATTATGTATTTTGCTTCTTGCTTGTGTAAAACCTGTATGGGACATTGCTTTCTTTCAGACATACATTTAAGCTTTATAGGCTCTACAGATTAGTAAGTTGGATTATTGAAGGCCCAAATCACAATAATTTTGAGGTAGCCTTTTTAAGTCGAAAAGCGAAAGTATTGGTTGAGGGTAGTGCATAGGTGGTAGAGGAAGTGGAAAAATCTGCCGATTTCACGAAAAAGTAGGCTTTCCAAAACTAGTGTAGATTACGGTTGAACGAGTTTGCCACGACGGAAATGCCTTGGAACAGGAACTTGGACGAGATTTCGGTTGTTTCAATTACGCCAAAAGCTGACCAAATGAAGCCAAATCGGTTCAAAACTGCCTTGACTGTCGTCGCCATCTAATGGCATGTTATTTGAACTTCCTACGAGGATTCCCTTGTTCATGGTGCAGCCTCTAGAACGCCATCGTCCGCTATGGGTGTGGCATTCGACCCATACAATACTTGAGCCCCTATAACGCCCTATGTTGGCCATTTTCCGACGTGACAGCATTACATACGGTATGAGAAGGGGTCACAGATTTATCCCAGGGTAATCAGAAGCCATTTTATCAGGAAAGAAAATAACACCTCAACAGGAGAGATCGCCTCCCGCAGCAAAAAGAGCATTTGCAGTGGAACGCGATGATGCTTTTAGGTGTGAGTGTTCTTCCAATGGTATTGCCGGAATCGCAATGCTGAGCATTTCTCGAGTTTTCATTCGTTCTTATGATTATGTAGTGTTGATGAGTCAATAGACCCGAATTTCCCCTGACATGCGGTCTTGGGCGGTGTACGTCCGAATGTTGCGTCCACCACTTCTATCTGCTATTGATAATTTCTTTTTGTGGAGCAGGAGGAAGAAAAAGTTTCGTACGTCTATCGATCTGATCTGTTGGAAACCCTTTCATTATCGTATATAAATGTGTCTGCCACTTTTTCCTTCTAACTCACTGCATCGCTCTCATTTCCTACCCATTTCAGGGTGTTCAAATTGCAGAAGCGAGCTCTTGAGGGTATCCCACATATTGCGTTCACCCTTGTATGTGGTGCAAAGGTTGGTTGGTACCGAATTTTTTTTGGTCAAACATGGGTCAAACATGAAAAACGGCTAGGATGGACCTTGGGAGATTTGAACCTGTTCTAATTAAAAGACTATTACCGAGAACGTCGATAGGCTGAGTTTTTTTTCAGCTGAAATCTGCTCTATGGCGAATTGGTGCCAATGTGAAGTTTGTGATTCGAAAGAAAGATGGTGACCGATTTGTTGAACGTAATGTGAGTTTTCGGGGACCTATTATTCCAAATCTTCAAGAATTTAAAGTAAATGTGTAAGAAAAAGACTGGGTAGGTTCATGATTCATTCCTATTTCTTAAACGAGACAATGTAGAATGAATATCGATTTTACGCGCATGTAATCGATGCCTGCTTTGAATCTGCCCGTAGAATAGCTGATGAAACTGTATACCACTGTACTTTATAACTTTCTTATGAACTTCAGTATCCAAGTAATGAATTCACCTTTGCCGCAAAAACGTTGGCCGATATGGTCCCATGGGAAGAGATCGACACAACCCTCGGTTGTTCCGTCAGCGATCCCAAGACGCCAATTGCTTTCACCATTGAACTCCATATCGACATTGTGAAGAGCTATGGATTCAGGTGTGTTACAAAGCCTTTCTCATTCAAGTTTGGGNGGGAGCCTAGTCAAGAGATCACCAAGTTCTTGGATTCTTCGCCCAAGCCGTGAAGGGGCAACGGGATCTTAGCTATGGGGGTCTGTAGGTCTGGTACCAAGCGGTCGACTGTAGAAGAGTGGGCAGGGGAAGTCGTGGTCACTTCCGGAATAGTTTTCGTGGCGTCTTTTGCTGTGGGTTTCGGTCTGTTAGTAATGTACTATACTTAAGGCGTCGAGCTCGATTCGAATATTCATTCTTCGAGCCATCTATCGAAACTGACATGGTCCTGATAATAGAGAACAAGGAGATCTACGTGAATGCAACGGTATAAGCCTTCTCTGAGCTGTCTCAAAGTGTCTCTCAAGAAATACACATTTTAGTACCTCTCAATGCTGTCGCCATTTTTCCGCTCACTCCAGACTTCATCAAATGTCGCACTCTATGGGGAAATCCCGGTTAGTCGACAGTGAAAAGCTAGAGTTCAGTGAACCAGTTTGAGTCCATTTCAGACGGAAGTCATCCCAGATGTGTCGGCAGAAGACTTCCTGGAACTTTTGAGTGTTGTCTATCCATCTCAGAAACCAGTAACAGGTTAGCCACTGACTAGATTTCCTGAAAGGAAGGACTTTGTCCAGAGTTTTCTCTGTTTAAGTTGAAAACGTGGAGATGCTCCTGAGATTGGGCGATCGGTACAGCTTCGAATGCGTTCTGGTGAAATGCGAGAATTTCTTGATCACTAATAAGGCCGACGAAATTGACGTCTTCACGCGCCTCGAATGGGCTAGTAAATACGCCATGGCTGATCTCCAGGTGGGAACTACTTCTTACATTCCCTGTTGTGAAAATAAAGAGTCTTTTGACGTTCAGTTTCAATTTCGGTTTATGCCATGCAATCGATTCTCATGTAAAACAGTACAAGTTTTAGAAAACATTTTTAATTATACAGTGGTTAGCGAAGACAAATCGAGACCCAAGGCGCTATCCATTGTTGCCATAAACTAAGAGTTACTTCTTGCTATGGGTAAGTAATAGGAAGTGGTGAATGTCATTTATCCTTTCGGAACTGCTAACCTTTTTCATTACATGATGTTAGCGAGGTGCAGCGCTCCTCTGAATCGCTCTTGAGAAACCACACGAATGCTCAAACTACACCCGCTTTCAGGAGTGCAACGAAAGTGTCTAGTGTGTGAAAGAACTGATCATTCTTTTTTCTGAGAGGAAATGTTTGCTGGGCATTAGTCATCCAAATTTCAGCAGCTTCACTCTAGTCAAGGAGGTCCAGGTTCCGAAAATTACTGGAACAAGTATCAGAGGAAACTTAGCGTAAGGAATGGCAATGTAGAAGAGGCAGATCTTTCGGTATGCATGGTAATAGAGTGAAGGAAAAATAATTACACCTTTCAAACCATGAATCTCCACTTCCTGCCTGTGTTTTATGAAGTGTGACGAGGTTTCAACAGTAAACTACTGGGATAAAAAATTGCTAGACAACGAAACTCGGCTTTTTAGGAAATGTTGGGCACAAAGCCTT